CGGCACGTGCAGGCTCCTCTTCGTCAGCGACAGCGTTTCGGGGAGGCTGTTTCTGTGTGACACGGGCGCTCAACGGAGCGTAGTTCCAGCGTCGAGTGAAGACGTCGCCCGTGGGGGGCACGGACCGCGATTGACGACGGCTAACGGCAGTCCCATTCGCACGTACGGCGTGAGGCCTATGTGTTTGTGCATCGGAGGACAGCGTTTCAGCTGGGATTTTGTGACAGCGGACATTTCTTTTCCCCTCCTCGGAGCGGATTTTTTGTGTGCTCATGGACTCTTAGTGGACGTTAAGAATAGGCGTTTGGTTGATGCCTTAACGTTTTCTTCCCTCGTGTGCACACTTGGCAGCGCAGCGTACGACGGGCTGTCAGGCTCGCTGTCAGGTGCAGACACGTTTCTCAGACTGTTGGCCGAGTTTCCAGACCTGTCGCTACCCACCTTCTCTGCGCTTACCACTAAGCATGGCGTGGAACACCACGTCACTACCGGGGGGCCTCCTGTCTACGCCAGGGCCCAGCGGTTGAACCCTTCTAAGCTGGCTGTAGCGAGGGCGGAGTTCGCAACCATGGAGCGCCTGGGCCTTGTCCGCCGCTCCGACAGTCCTTGGGCTTCCCCCCTGCACGTCGTTCCCAAATCGAACGGCGGGTTCCGCCCGTGCGGGGATTACCGCCGACTCAACGACGCCACTAGGCCTGACCGCTATCCGGTGCCGCACATTCAGGACTTTTTGGCGCATCTGGCCGGTACGGGGGTGTTTTCCAAGGTGGACCTGGTGCGTGGATACCACCAGGTGCCCATGCACCCCCTGGACATTCCCAAGACAGCAGTGATAACGCCTTTTGGACTTTTTGAGTTCCTGCGGATGCCTTTTGGACTCAAGAATGCCGCTCAGACGTTCCAGCGCCTGATGGATTCGGTGCTGCGGGACCTGCCGTTTGTGTTTGTTTACCTCGACGACATACTCGTCGCCAGCGCTTCAGTGCAGGAGCACCTGTCCCACCTCCGAGCCCTTTTCACACGGCTCAACGAACACGGATTAATCATCAATCCTGCAAAGTGCCAGTTCGGGGTGTCGGACATCGATTTCCTGGGGCACCGCGTTACCAAGGGCGGTGCGACACCTCTGCCAGCGAAGGTGGAGGCTGTTGCGGCGTTTCCTCGCCCGCTCACAGCCCGGTCGCTCCGTGAGTTTCTGGGGATGGTGACTTTCTACCACCGTTTCATCGCCCGGGCCGCACACATCATGCGGCCGCTGTATGAAGCGTTGAAAGGCAAGACCCCGTCCAGGAGATCGACTGGACAGCAGAGGCGGACGGCGCTTTTGCTGAGGTCAAGACCGCGTTGGCTCAGGCGGCTTTGCTGGCACACCCATCATCTACGGCTCCCATCTCCATCACCACGGACGCGTCAGACTACGCGGTCGGCGCAGTGCACGAGCAGTGGGTTGGAGGGCGCTTGGCAGCCGCTCGCCTTTTTCAGCCGCCAGCTGACGCCTAGAGAAACGCAAATACAGCGCCTTTGACCGGGAGCTCCTCGGACTTTATTTGGCCGTGCGGCACTTCCGTTTCATGCTGGAAGGCCGTGAATTTACGGCGTTTGTCGACCACAAGCCGCTCACCTTCGCCATGTCAAAGGTGGCGGAGCCTTGGTCGGCACGTCAGCAGCGGCAGCTGTCCTACATATCGGAGTTCACTACGGACATTAAGCACGTGGCTGGCAAGTCGAACCTGGTTGCTGATTGCCTCTCCAGGGTCGTCATCGGTGCCGTCCAGTTGGGCCTGGACTATACTCGCATGGCGGCAGACCAGGTCACAGATCCCGGCGTCCAGGCCCTGAAGGTGGAGAGCGTGGGGCTGCGCTTGGAGGACGTGGTGTTCGGCGACGCGGGCATTACTCTCCTGTGTGACGTCTCTACGGGCCTGGCGCGGCCTGTCGTCCCTGCCAGCTGGAGGCGTCCTGTGTTCGAGGCTGTGCACGGCCTGTCACACCCCGGCGTTGAACCTTCGGTGCGTTTGGTAGCGGCGAAGTTCGTTTGGCAAGGACTGAAAAGGGACGTGAGGACTTGGGCCAGGGAGTGCGTGGCTTGTCAACGCGCTAAGGTGCACCGCCACACGAAGGCCCCGTTGGAGCGTTTCCTGGTGCCTGAGAGGAGGTTTGATCACGTCAGACATTTCCTCAGACAGGGGCTCTCAGTTCACGTCCGAGCTCTGGAACGCTGTGGCAGGTGGTTTGGGGGTTAAGCTGCACAGGACTACCGCTTACCACCCTCAGGCTAACGGCCTCTGCAAGCGCTTTCATCGCTCCATGAAGGCGGCCCTCAAGGCCGGCCTTACGGACGGTAACTGGGTCGACAAGCTGCCCTGGGTGATGCTGGGCCTGAGGACCGCACCTAAGGAAGATCTGCAGTGTTCTACAGCGGAGATGGTCTACGGTCAGCCGCTGAGAGTTCCGGGGGATTTCCTCCCAAATGCATCGGCTCCCTGGTCGGCGTCAGCCCAGCGGGCTTTCCTGCGTGACGCCGCTGAGGCCTTTACTCCAATCCCTACTACTCAGCACGGTACTCAGGTGTCCCAGGTTCCCGCAGAGCTCCGCTCGGCGGAGCACGTGTTCATCCGGCACGATGCGCACAGAGGCCCCTTGCAGCCCCCTTATGATGGGCCTTTCCGGGTCTTGGAGCACGGGGACAAGCACCTGGTGGTCGACCTGGGTGGCAAGGCCGAGCACGTCTCGGTGGACCGGGTGAAGGCTGCTCACCTGGACTTGGACCAGCCTGTGGTGCTGGCTCGACCTCCTCGACGGGGCCGCCCCCCAGCCTCGTCTCCTGTCACGGATTTAAGACCTGTTGTTCCGGTCCCTCCCCTTCCGGGGGCCGCACAGGCGGGAGTCACTTTTCCGACTCCCGTGCTCAGGAGTCGTGGGGTCGGCGTGTCGTTCCTCCCCGCCATGCTGATTTTGTTTATGTGTGAATTCTGGGGGGGCTTGTGTGGTGACACGTTATTGGACATAATTCACCTTGCTTATTGTGTTGCCACACGGACCCTTTAGTGGGGAACACCTGTAGCTTTAGCTGCCATTCCTGCTAGCTCATCAGGCAGAGCAATGATAATAAAGATTGGAACTCCATTCTTAATACACCGCCTCCGACTCTCTTTTCACGGCACTACAGTACATAATTTAAACCAATAAATGTCGTATAATTAACAAGGATAAACTGATGTTTTTTAGTTGATGAGTACTGCAGATATCACTGTTAAATCATTTGATCATTGGTTTTATTTTGAAAACGTCAAGACCGGAAATACTGTTTTCAACCCGTAACTTTACATGGAGGCTGCCGCAATGTGCATACCTCAAATCATCTTCGTAATATCTATCAAACTATAGATCCTACATATCGACTGGACGTGGATTCTAAAAGTACAATATACACTTCTCGCTAGAAATCTAATCAAAAAGCGTTTTAATGGCCAAACTATCCTACAAATTAGGATTTTACAGAGAGGGTTATTATTTGTGAATAAACGATTCGATTCGAGTAACGTTAGCATTCAACGGGAGCACTAGACGGCGAAAACTTTAAAACGTAATTATAGGACATTAAGCGCTTGAACAAACGACATATTTGGTCGTAATAAGGGCCTGAACAATCGGCCCATTTGGTCGTATGAGTTGGAGGACTTGTTGATATATATGGCATCATCTTCATTAACTTTGATTATTTTACAGCTTATTTCTACCAAACTCACTATTTACATTGTTGTTGTTAGCATCTGGTTAGCTAGCTGCGCTAACGGATATTAGATGCAGTTTCTAAAACAAGGAGAGAGAGAGAGAGAGCTCTCTCCTGTCAGACTGAGAGAGATCTACAGCTCAGTGAGGTAAGGGACTCTGAGTGTTTAGATAGTTAACTTTAGTCTAGTTATCTCAGTGGGTCTCAAACGGTTTGGTCAACATTTATGAGAATAAATGAAAAACAGTTATGAAATACTATATGACAGTAAAACAAGAATACAGTTTAAAAGGAGAGTGATTTTTAAAATATCCATAATGAAAAAGAAAATCTGTGTGCAGTTCTGTTTCAGAATCAGAAACAGGTTTATTGCCAGGTAGGTTCACACATACTAGGAATTTGACTTGATGTCATTGTGCATACATAAAATATAAAAAACAAGAAATCTAATATAAAACACAACATATTTTACACCGTATCATATGGATGTTGAGAGATGTATCCATAGATCTCTTAATTTTGCTCTCAAAGTGCACCAGATTGATGAATTTAACTTCAATAATTTAATAAAAATCTTCCCGGTGGAGCATGCCCCCGGACCCCCCTAGAGGAGGTGAGGTACCCCCCCCATAAAACATCACTTTACCTCTGCTTACACCTATAATGCCATTTTAAATGCTGTAAGCTGATTATCGAGCCTTCGTTGTAAGAGTCGCGGGTACACTGTGTATGTGCGTATTCCACTGTAGCGCCCGGTACATTAATGGGAAACCCTAGTTTGTACATGTTCAATACATTTGTAACACTGTACACATGAATGTTTCTTTTTTTCGGTTTACCAAAAAAAAAATCTCACTCCAAGCTGAACTCAAAGGTTGGCAGCCCTGGCTATATCCAATAATAATAATAATAATAATATACATATGCATTAGTAAGTTATAGTAATGTAGGCTACATGATATTAACATATTAACTAAAGTCCACCATACTATACACCATGTCTACCACCACTTACATAAAGTATTCAGAGTTGCAAAAAGCTGAACACACTGATTAACCAAGCACAAATAAACATTATGATAGATGATTAGTTTATGCATTTTCCACTTAACAGTCAGTTAGATATTTGCAACACTCATTTTAAAAACACACACAGAAGCTACACATTCTATACGTTAGGTTTGAGACGTCGTGCAGTGGTCTAACGACAGTACACTACCTTGTGAAAATAATTGTAGAAGAAATGAAAAAAACTCTGACACTTTAGTGATCTTTGCTCATCTTTTTATTTCATGATTAATATTCACACACTGGTTAACAATGAATCACAATGAACATCTCTTTCATACCAAATATTCAGAATTGAAAGGGGAGATGAGCTCTATCTAATCGGACAGATGCCTCTAACAACCAGCAGCATGTTTGTTGTCTTCTGCATGCTTTTGCTATGGTGGTGTGGCCTAAAGAATAAAACAGCACACGCTACAGTGGATCCACGCCTCAGCACTAAAAAGTAGATTATTTTGCCAATTGTTTTCCTTTCAATTTGTAATGGTATGTTCAACAATTGAGCTTATAACTATGTAAGACACAAAACAATTTATATTTAAAGTATTTCTAGTAAATTAAATCATTAAATATGTATTGCTAGTACAATTCTAGTGGTGAGCTCTCCTTGATAAAACAAACTATTACCATGCTGTATATGTGGTAAAGGACCCAAGTAGAAAAAATACCTTTCAGTGCTGTGACGCTACAAGCCTCTGCAGGTGGAAGACACAGCTATGGCCCCCAGGTTCATATCTACCAACACTCCCTTTTGTTCTTGATAACTTTTTCCCAGTTACATCTCAGGCAATTAGACATCTGACTTACTCATTGTGCAAATTTGTCCAAAAAATGTCCTAAATTTGGTCCAAGACATCCCTTAACTCAGTCCCGTGTTGGTAGGTATGTCGAGGTGTCTATATAGGAGCTGTCTAATACAGAACATTACATTCTACCACATGCCAAAAGACTAAGTCTGGTTAGTCTAACGGGAGGGGGGTGGTGGTAGGCGAGCGAAAGGGCTGACCAGTGTGTGTCAAGTATTACAGTAGTGCATTTCAATCCAATATTAAAATGGCAATTTCTATTTCTGTTTTAATACATTTCCACAAATTCTGTGATTTTGTTATCTGTAATTTGAGGTTTCTCTGTCTGTATACCTATTAAGTCATATCTCAGATCCTACCCAAACACGACACACACTGCCTCCCTTCCTTCCCAACAATTTGAATCTGGTAAATAGTGTTTCCAATGTGATCTATCTTCCAAAACAGAACAGAGTTCTAAGGTACAAACCTTATACATGTATTCATCATCTTGCATCTTTAATACATTTTAAAAACATTCTTGAAACTTCAGCAGCCCTTTTCTTGGCGGAAAAAAAGGCAGACACTGAAAAAAGAAAAAGTACACTTTTCCTTTCTTATGCTTTCGATCTTATAATAATAACATTATTAACCTTAACAGTAACAGGTTTATGAACGTGAGAGCTCATCTGTCAACATCCACAACACCCTGTTAAGAAGCAGTACGATTATTTTTCTTTTACATTTTTTCTTTGAGTTACTTCTGTAGTGATAAAAACATGGTGGTAACTATATACAAGGGATAGTGTGAGATACTAGTGGAAGGGTGGTGTTCAGGCTCTATACTGGGGAGTCAAACAGTTGTGAACGGACATCAGAGTGAATCTGGTTATTACATTTTGTCCAAGCTTACATTTGTTTAACTGTAGTCCAAAAATAACCATACTGATTACTTTACTGATTCCGAAAAACTAATCATATATCTTCTATGATTCTATTAAACCTTAATTTGAATTGACAAGCTTAACAAATGAAGGTAGACTGGAGCCATACTTATTTTCTATTTTGTGAGCCAGATTTGCACCGAGCAGTACCTTTTAGTTTAAAACATTCAATTTCTGGCAAAAAAACTATGCAATGCCGTCACTGCTTCTAAGTGACCTTCAACACATCTCTGTCATTCACATACAGCTATCCGTCGCTACTTATCAGCCAACAAATACACTGATACCAAACGACAGACTTGCTTTAAGCTAATACCGTTTGAAACCGACCTGATTCTCATGTAAAGTCACAATAAAACTTCTTACACAACAACTGAAGATTTACTGTTCTCTATGTGTCGCCCTGGTTAGCACTTTAAGATGATGCCCAGGGACCTTGGTTACATGTCATCTCTAATTTCATTTTCTGTCAGCTCTCTTTTGTGTATCTATAAAGGCACAAATGCCCTACCATGGAAAAAGACACAACATCAGAATTCCCCTCTGAGGATTTCATGTATAGAAATGTCAAAAAAAGAATTGTAACCTAATTCTTTTTAATGTAACTACATTATGACATTTCTTTACTCCCACAAAGTTAGAAAAAATTACAAAATGTGTCCCTTAACTTAATTGGATTTGACTTTTTCGCCCATAGATTCATACATTACAAAACAGAATTACAATCTTTATCATTATCTGCTGGCTTTAGTAGCTTACTTGCTAATGTCACTCATTTGCAAACAAAACAAGCAATGCATTTTTTTTCAGAATGTTTGCCATTGAACAAACCTTGTATTTCACAGGTCATGGGATAGTACTTTGAAAGTAATTCACTGCTGCAAGTTCTCCTTTTCATTGTTTAGGATACAACTTCAGTACAATTACTCTAAACATGTTTTGCCAGAGGTAGCTCTGATGCCAGTCCTCTCAAAATATATCAAATTAGGCTCCTCGAAGCTCAGTATGGTCTATAAACTGAAACCTTCCCACTTGAGAGATGTGCTTTTGTAGCTTGGTCAGAAAGTAATAACCAGTGAATGTTGACAGACACAACATAAGGGCAGACTGGAGAGTAGAGTGTAAAACTATCATAGCCAATAGAACAACACCGATGACCAAAGTTCCACTAAAATCCACTAAGCTGACCAAGAGAAAGGGGTCCTGATGTGTCATTCAAGATACACCACATCAGATCAACCCAATAACATGCTCTCACACTGAGCATCCAACACACATTAAGACTAAAACTTGTTCCTCTGTTATATGCACAAACCAATATCTACAACTATCAAAGTGCTTTCATTCCTTTGTTCTCCTATTCCCGAAGAAAGATTCACATTATCATGTTCACATATGATCCGCACATATGCAATGTTTTACTTTTAGGCAACTCATGGGAATGATTTTTGTAGGGAGCAGTACAATATTAAATATGCATCAACGGTGCTTTTTAGTTTTATTGACGACTATTTGATCACTTGTTCTCTGATTATCGTAACTTCATCTAACTAGCGAGACTGTTTTGCTGCGAAAAGCACACATGTACAGTACACAGCTGACAATGTTTTACCAATATACAGTAAAGCAACTTCACTTCAGTGCATCATGAAATTAACAAGACTGTGTTCAAAGTGTACAAGAGACTTTTGAATTTTAAGAGGAGCTGTACATAAATAATATAATTCCGATGGTTTTCATTGTTCCAGATACAATAACATATAGTGTGACCATCAAAATATTTAATGGGAACAGTATGTAGCTGACTGGAGCTTCACTAGCGGTGATGTAAGGTTTCTCAGTCAGCTTTTGTGAAGTCTCAGCGCCAGACTATCAGTGTTCTAGAGGCCAAGCAGCGCTCTCTACAGGATGGATTAGCAACACTTCACACATCTGACAACTACGGCAACACCCCACAAACACGTCACTAATCCTTCCTAGTTTTAGCGGAGACCATCGCAGGCTTTAATGCACACTGCATAGAATTACAGGGAGTAGATAGGGCTTTCAACATTTAGCTGCTTCTACTATACTTGTTTCTGTGACACACAACAACGCTTTTGGTCTGTAAATCAAAGTCACATCACAGTGCTGTTTTCATAGAATCAAAAATGCATTGCACTGAATTGAGGTGATTTCCCAACATAATACATAATTAAGATTATGCTTAGTGCATTACCACATTGTTTTATGAAAACACTGCTACATGTAAATATGTGGATCTATTTAAATGTGTCCCCACTGGATGGCCCCAGCTATAGTATTTGCAGGATGTTCTTGGTTCTGACTTGCTGAAATACTGGTGCATTCATGGCATTTAAGAGCAAAGTAAGAACATTTCTAATAATATTATCACATTTTGTAACCTTTAAAGATTTGTATATGCAGTGGTATCCTATACATAACAAAGAACAACTCAAAGCTTAACAAAACAGAAACAAATGCATTTAATAAGCTATTTACTTCCATCTATTTACATTACAGATGTTGAGTAAAACACATGCTAAAGTGGTAACTAAAAACATGATCGTGAGCATCTCTTAGTAGGCTCAATCTACTAAATAAGCAATCAAGAGTTGCAAAAAACACACACAACTTTAGACTTGCCATGGATGTAACATTATTCCCTTTAGTCAACACATCTTCCTCAACGCTAACTCCTTTAACTGCCTGTCAACTTCAGTGGTCGATCTCTGTCCATGTGCACGTAACAGGGGACGTTCCCAACTAATATCACTGTACTGCTGTCCGAGAGTTGGAGTGAAAGACAGGAAATACACGAAAAGGGGACAATGACTACGATAGGAACAACAAACCGAAACAGCTCATCATTGTTTTAACAATATCAGCATAGACAACCAAAATACTATAATATAACAGAGTTGGTATCATAAACAGAAAAATGCTTCTATGAACAGAATACCGTTTTTATTTCAGGGTGTTCATCTGTGTGTTTTATATTGTTTGTGTATGTGTGATGATTTATTTGGGTGTGTGTGTGTGTGCTTCCTGTTCATAGATATCTGTGCTTATGTGTAGGTTTGTTTTTGTGGGAGGAAAGTAAGCAGGTCTCACAGAGAGGATTCTAAGACGCATCGGCCAGTTGGAAAACGGAAACCGGGTTGAACAACGTGACCAGGAAGTACCACATGCGCGAGAGCATGAAGGCGTCTGTCTGTCTCTAATAGCCACATGTGAAGTTGTTAAGCTAAACACAGATCAGCGTGACTGCTGCGGTCTATAGCTGTATGACGGGGACTGAGGATACATGGGAGCTTTGCGATTACAGTGGAAACCTAAGAGTTATAGTGCAGGAGAACAGGGTTGCATGTGCTTTGACAGGAACACACTTACGGAGAAGATTAAGACTTGATTGCCCCCAGACTTGATGCCATGCGAAGGGTCGGATGTGAGCTACATTTTAAGATAAGGTTAAGGTTGCTTCAGGTTTTTTTTTTGTCATTTTTTAAATCATCAAACAAAACCAAACCGGGCTGCAGTCCTTAAACATCACCCATAGTTTGTAGACTTGTCCTACAAGCACGGGACCAGGACGGATCTAAGTCAAAGTGTTCAGCTTCATGCCCAGGATGTGAACAGTTTAGTAACATTAAGTGGTGCTATCAATATATCCCCAGAGGTGGGTAATATCCTCCAGAGGTCAGTAAGTACCCTGTTGTGTTAATACATATTGTTTTACATAGAGTAGCGACCACTTTGAGGAAGCTAACAGGGATTAGAATAAATAAATATTACGTTAGATAGAATTAAGACCCAGCCACACCAGAAAGTGGCATGGTGGAAACCGCATGTTTTCCCAAATCATGTGGTTTTAGCAGCTCTACCCTCCAGCAACTTAATGTGTCCCTTAGTTCACAAACTTGACTTGATGTGAACATTTTTCACATTTTCTCAAATCTCTGGTGATGCGGATTGCATTGTATAACACAGATTTTAGTGTGATATTTCCGCGTGACCGGGTCTTTACCCAGCAGCCTGTGACATGGTGGTTGACACTGTTACCGCGTTAAGAGAAGTGCTACATGCTGTATACTGTGCATTGACCCTTTATGTTGATTAAATATTGCAGAGTAACTCCAAGGTTTAACACTTTTCTTGAAGGGTTAAATAATCCTGCTCAAGTCGCTCATTCAGTTTGAATTTATAATCACTTTGAGGTGAAATACTGTGATCGCAACTTATTTGGCATAGAGATCAAATACCTGTGTTCAGTGCCAAATCCTTTTTTTAGCCATGGCTACCCAGAGAAGACACAGAGCTCCCCCATCACTTGACGCCTATCTCTCTCGATGATTATCATGCACCGATCACATCAGTAAATTATGTTTCTAACTGAAGTAAGTCTCGTCTGCTTTGTTATAGCCTATTCATTTCTGTTGTGTACTGTCAATGAATACATCCTTTCTTGAATGATTCCTGAATGCCTCTGCACTTTGTTTCTGAACTGATGTTGAACTCTGTCTTTAGTTCAATTACGAAACATCTCAAATTGTATAATCTGTTGTCTACATAAGCCTCTGTCCACTGAGCCACTGCTAATGGTTAGCATCATGATATTAATAGTCCGGAGAAATAGAATTGTAATAAATGAGGTAAAAATAAACATGTGCAATGATACCAATAAATGTAATGGGAGATAATGTTTGAGGAGTTTGCTATAATGGGACAGAGTGCAGTCTTGTTAATACTGTAGATTTGGAAATAATTTCTGTCCGTCTGGAAGGTTGGGATGTTTGGATTTGAAGCAGACTTGCCAGTGTTTGCCCTGCTGCTGACTGGTAGCAAGCCCTCAGCTGGTAAGTATGCTTTGGAGCCAAGTGTACATGGACTGGGAATGAAAGTGGGGCAAATAGTAGCATTAGCATATATTTGCTTACATGTTCTAAAGATTAATGAGGATTTGTTTTGTGAAGGCTTGTAGGACGGACTTAGAAACTAAGTTCTGAGGCAGGGTGTTTGCGCTATAAGTATTTGTGTTTAAACTGTATCAAACTAATAGGTGGACATATTCTAAAACTGCCTATGCTCGGTATGCTTTCATACATCATTGACTACAATAGTGGGTTTGTTGCGTTGGTGTAATTCAATTTAGGGTTTGCGGTTGAAGTCCTCTAAATCAGTGCCTACAAGAGGATCTTATCAGGCAAGAAGCTGGTGGAACCCAACACACAGAAACAGACAAAAAGCAAGTGCTCTTCTCTGTGGTAGGCAGGGTCAAAGGTCAACCGTTGAGAGGTCAAAGGTCAGGGTTGGTAGCAAGAAGCTGGCAGGCGGACCCCGGAGAAACACTGAGGCGATCCGTCAGTTTGGTGCAGCGGTGGGCGAGATGAAGGGCAGGGCCAAAGGGAAGTGACTGCGCCGTGGTAGGTTGGTCGGTCGGTTGATTGGCAGGTTGGCGAGCGCCATGCGTGTCCCACCAAAATCTAAAGCTCACTGGGACTCAATCTGTTGATTAGAAGAAACTAGAATAAGAAACTAGGCAGTACAGAAAAAAGAGAGAAAAAGAGGGTGACAAAAGTGATACTGAGACAGAGGAAACACTTCCAGCCAGATGGTCTGTTTCTTTTCCAGCTTACAGGCTGTCACTGTGGGGCAGGTTTATATGAATTATGTGCCAAATTATAAACCATTCCCTTTTTATATTGTATTAGCACTACAGCCATCCATCAAGTAGACAGAGTTTGGCAACCACATCAGGTGGCAGAAGTCTGTTGTGCCTCTGAACTCAGGGAGTCTGGAGGCTAGCTGCTGTGCCAGGGATGAATGTATCCACTCAGACTGGCTAATTCTTAGTCTGTAGGTCTCTTCATAATTTCATTCAGCAGCAAAGTGTTTGCTGTTTCTACCACACCGCTCCATCACACACGTAGCACAGGTATACTCCAACATACATGCACGCATAGCTTTTTACTGTCAATTGTTGTGTAATTGACCGTTTGCTAAACCCCTGATAAGGGGTTTTCTTAACATAACAAAGCAACCGTAACTAGACATCTAGTAATTCAAGAAAAGTAAAACAATACATTATGGATTTCAACAAGAACAAACCTGATATTAACCTGATCAATCGACCAAAACAAAATAACTAAAGCATATTCAAATTGATTAAACTGTGTGTTTTCTGCAATGCATGTCCAGATACATACAGTATGTGTTATAGCCAAATTAGCAAACCATATCATTACAGAAAATCACAAGTTTTGCATCTTTGTCATGCTCTATAGTTAGTTTACAGTCAAGCAAAGCCCACATTTGAGTGTTTTACATTAAATAAAACAAATCAATGTCTCTTTCTCTTCTTTAATTGTTTAAATGATCTAACCTCGATATCAAACTATCAAAAGATTATGTTAGAATGTTAGTGTTTTGTTATTTATAATGCTGTGCTTTAATACTAAATGCTGCTTCTTTATCTCCATCTCAATTCCAAATGGAGCATTAGCGGTTGAGGAGGCGAACTTTTGGCCAGTCATCTAAAAAAACATATTTCGGAAACAGCATAAGCTTACACTAGCGACAAACACTGGATCGGCCACAGGCACTTGTTATTTCAGCCAAAAATAATCTACAATTGTCTGCAACAAATAAGAAGCCTGCTCTTGTTTATTTCTTTCAAAAATCAAAGACCTATCGTTTAGAACTACTGAGAATGTTGAATGGCTAACAGTACGTCTATACCAGGGGTTTTCAAAGTGTGGGAAGGTGAGCCTCCCCTCAGAGAACATAAGAACAGCCGCGCCCCCCCTCCCAATTATTATTGCTATTATTATTATTATTATTATTGTTGTTGTTGCTATAATGCAGGGGTATTCAATTGCATTTCAAAGAGGTCCAGTAAGAGAAAATGCTCTGTTTTTGCTGTCTACCTTTCTCTTTTTTGAGCACGCCATTTGAAATGACTCACTGCTGTTTCTCTCTTCTTGTCTCGTCTGTGTGTGTGTTTGAATCTATCGTGCTGACTCACTGACTGCACCGATTTGATTGGCTGAGTAGCGTCACCTCCTTCAAACATTAAACAATAACTTTTTTAAACCTTTTTATCTTTATGTTTTGAATTTTTAACATTTTCAACATCGTGGATAAATCCTTATATGCTCCCGGCAACACACTGAACGTCAACTCTGCCTCCTTATTACACTCACCCCTACTTTAGTGGGAACAATGAGTCTGCGTCTTTGATGCGGGGATGCAATGTAGACAGGAATAAACGCAGATCATCCTCTGGCTGCAGCCTTGACCAGTATTTGCTTTTGATCAAAGTCAATGCGGAAAACCCGCACTAACACACACAGGTAGGTGGAGGCAGGGGCGGACTGGGACTAAAAATCAGCCCTGGAATCTCACCCAGCCCAGCCCACACAAATTGGTAGAGCACGCTAGTGAACTGTCAACGGGGGGGGGGGTTGCCGCGCTGCGTGGAAATGGCCCGCTGAACCAACCTCTGTCGCCTGTCAGCGCAACTTAAATGATGCCGTTTAAAAAATAAAGAGCGGTGCCGGCCGTCAGCGAACCGAGCCGGCCGTCAACGACGCGCAGACGACCGGCTGTTCTGTGATTCTCCAGAACACACAGAGGACCAGTCCGCCCCTGGGTGGAGGTGAAGGGAATGAGCACTTTTACAGCCTTTTTGGCCAAAAGTGTGCAAGTGACACTTTACTCGTCTTTTTCTCGTTATTTTCACGCTGCGCCTCCCCTGAAGCTCTCTGGCGCACCCAGGGAGGCGCGCCTCACACTTTGAAAACTGTTGGTCTAGACCATTGAAGTATAGAACAGCGAGTAAGTGAGGCGCAGTTTGGAATGAGTCCTAAGGCTTCAATTATTGATGTGCACTTCATGCTTTTATTTTGTGTGTGTTTACACCCACTTGTCTCAGTGATGCGTTTGTCTATGCTCTGCTCCCTCAGGCCGTCTCCACCAAAAGGAGTCGGTGTGGGCTCCTTCACACCATTCTCCTTAGAAACACCTGCTGGTCCTGTCATCGCAGCGCCATTTGGGGGGGGGGATGTCTTCTTCTCTTCCTGTAGCCAGAAATAGACACACAAGGGCAGGGACACACACACAAATTCACACAATGAACACCTGTTTTTTTTCATAGTATTCCATCTCATGGTCATGGTCAGCCAGTAAAAGCACAATGAGTCAGCAGAACAAGAGAAGTTAGACGTCTTTTAACTGAGAAAATAAGAGTCGGTTTTAAAGTTTGACCTTGTGCCCGTTGGTCTGATCATTGCCTGGCCCCATGTTGTCCATGGATCCAATCTTAGACTTAGCTTTAATGTTTTGCTTATGGGACTCAATCTTCACATCCCCTCCACCTGAGGTAAAACAAAAGGTAGGTATGAGACCAGCAAAACATAGAATATAGATCAATAATGAATACAAATAAATACAAAAGTGTAACTGTAAGTCTGACCTGGCTTATATTTGATGTTGTCCTTTGAGCCACATTTGGAAGTTACCTTGCTCAAATCAACCTTCTTATACAGGATCTGCACCTGTTGATGAGGAGAGATCACAATGCAGCCTCTTTACAATAACTCACAGGGATGCCACATCCAGCACAATGCAGCCGGAATCAGAAATCCACTCTATTCAGTATCCAAAATCACTGTCATCCATTATCATGCACCTGTTGCGTTTATAGAGAGGATCAGGTTCTGCACAACACATGTTGTATTAAAGGAGACTGGATACAAGAAAGCACTACCTACCCATGCTTTATCCCCTTCTTTGACCTTTTTCACTGTTATGAGGTGCCTTCTGTTTTGTTTGGCTAACTGATGATCCATTTATGCATATCAATTAGCACAGGCTTTTATAGGAGGACACGATCAGGCAGTTATTAGACTGCGTCACATCATGAGAGTGTGTGTTCAGTATTACAAGCAGTAATCTGACGGCAGCTGGCACTGATGAAAGAGCCAGTGACCTGCCTAACAGTGTGCAATAGGAACAATCATTTTTACATATTTGATGACAGAGAGGAGGAAAAACAGTCAGCCGGCTGTGACCCTCAATGATGTTAACATTTTATTAGCAAGCCAACCATGATGGGTTCTGATTGACATTACAGCGCCCCGTTATGAGAGGCTTACATGACAGGTTAAAATATTAATGACCTGGTTTAATAATACAAACACAAATAATAATTTAAATATCCATGATGTAATTTTAGACTGAGGAAACACACCTGAGATTTCAATAATTACAGAACAATTTGAATATTGGGGCATATCAACCTTCTGCAAAAAAAAGAAACGCGATTTCTATAAGACTTTTGTATTGTGGTATTTTGACCTATCAGTTTGTATTTGCCTATTTTACATGAAACATGCCAAAACAAGTATTGAGCACATATAATGTAAGGCTTGTGTGTAGTTTCATCCATTGTAGCAGGTTTCTTTAATATACTATTACTACTAAAGTTGACTTTGATATGTTTTATGGATTTGTTATACGAGATGTTTCTTGAGTATTAAAGCAGAACAGTTGCTGATATTGAGAACAAGCCCGATAGCTTTATCCGATTTGTCACTTCTTGGACATGATCCTTTTACGGTATACCTTTTGCATTGTGTTTATTGATCAGAGACAGCAAAGTGGTGATGGTGAGGGCAGCCCAGAGATGGATTATGATAGTGCAGCAGGTGTTTGGAGCAGATGGGAGCAACATCTGGAAGGGTGGGCAGAAGGACTCATGGCCAATTCACTTTGAGTGAAATCAATCCAAGATGCAAACACAGGTAATTAGGTTTAAAATATATAATATGCATTCAGCCAGGGTGATTCCAATTTACATATAAAATAACAAAAAAATCCTGATCAGATCTTTTTGTTGCCAGGATAAAAATGTGATTGATCATACATTTGACCAGGAAGCTAAAATAGCAAAAAATGTGATATGCATCCACCCTATGCAGAGTCTCCCGTCAGCTCCAGCAGTACTTACTTTGCCACCTCCAGGGACATGTTTGATATTGTCCTTGGAGCCACAGCGAGACGTGATATGGCTGAAGTCCAGCTTTTTGTGCACTATCTGAACCTAAAGACAAGCAGGCAGACACACAGACAAGCAGGAAAGTGAGGAGATAGAAGGGAAAAGAAGGAAAGAAAGAAAGAAAGACAGAAAGAAAGACAGAAAGAAAGTAAGAAGAGCATGACAGAGGCAGACAGACAAGAGCAGCAGAGAAGAGCAGATCAGCTGGCAGCTTAAGTTAACAGGAAACAGAGTAGCCTTGCTCTGTACGTATGGAAGAGGTTCTGTCATTCAAATCCAATAATTCCTCCTGCATATGAGTTCAGGGATTATCAGTATTACAAATGTTTTTTGGGACATTATGCCACTAATTCATTGAGGTTAAAAAATGGTGCAGCTAACTGGACATATTCTAAACTGAAATGTTTTAATTATTATAGAAATCAATGCTAGATTTGTATCAAACGATAAGGATACTGACTGAATAACAATAGAGCGCTTCCATAAACGGCATTAACCAAAACTGATCAAGCACAGAACAACACTGGAAGGGTGGACAGAGCACATGCAACAGAGTATTACACAGGACAGTCAGTGGTATTGTGTTAACGCATGCTTGTTCTAAGCAGAGAAGCAAATGCAAGCGACTTATACAGGAAAGTGGAAGATGGTTAGTGAAACACTACACATAAAACCTGTTGGTTAAAACTAAATACTGAAAGATAATCCACAAGATTTTGAAAAGTAAGAATGTTTAGGGTTCCATCCCCAATAGAGACATTTTAACCATTTTCAGGAACATTGAAAAAGAAATAGCTCCATTTATGAATATTCATTCGCCCTTTGGAGATGATGCTAGTTGCTTTTCAAAATAATGCACAAAGAAAAAAGTCAGCATACAGGATTGAAACCAGTGATGTGGATGCTTTTAAAAATGTTCCTCTAATCCCCTAATTGCTGTATTCCTGCACATTTTCTTAGAAATTCAATGTATCGCTTCAATCCAGCAAGCTCCTGCAGTTGTTTGTTTTTCGAGTGAGGTATCCAAGGGAACCGAGACACACACGCTCTCCTACACAAAATAACTCCTTCCCATTGTTTTGTCATTTCAGTTTCATTGCGCTGCAGCAGACTTCAGACGCCTTGCTCCATTCTCTCTGTCTCTGCCTTAAGTCTTATTCGCCAGGATGAGAGCGGCATGATGACGCAGGTGGCACCAGCAAAGGATGACTCACTGAGCGAGCAGTTAGCACGCACACACATGCACGTACGAACACAGAGCAGAAGTTTTCCTTCTATTTCCGTACACCTATAGGCTGTGCTTAATCATGTATCCTCAATTAAGGGTAGAAATGTTGCTATTGCAAAAGAAGGGACACTGCATGATGCTGAAAATGTGTCCTCGTTTTAATAAAAGTGAAGCGTAAGCAGGAAAAGGCGACCATATTTCAAGTGCTACAAGACTAAAGACATGGAACTTACAATTATTTTCAGGAAGCCTTTTTTGTCAGCGTTTGTTCGTATGTGTCCAACCCAGTCTCACGGCATTTCGTGTTATAGTCACGAAATTAATTTAATCTATTGATTCGTGTTCACCATCACGATTTTCGCATTTTTTTCGTGTCACACAGAACGATTTTAAAAGCAATGTATTTCTATTGGTAGCATGTTTCGTGCCTGCACCACGTCTTTTTGTCCAGTCGGGTCTTGGAATACCAGAAGCTGTGTGGTTCATAAAAACATATTCTTACTCAATATCTTACCCTAAGCCTAACCCTATCCCTTTTATTTTAAAATGTATAATGTCTAAGTTATTTTGCCATCCGCGAGGAAAATAAATGGGGCTCAGAGCCACAGAATACTGACATCTGCATTTTTTGTCATTTTTTTTCTTTCTAATTTGTTATTATTTGGTGCAGTCACGAAACATGTAGTTACCAATAGAAATACATTGCTTCTAAAATCGTTCTGTGTCAGAATACTGAAATCTGTATTTTTTAAAAATCTGTTTTTCCTTGTAATTTGTTATTATTTACATTGCGTTTAAAATCATTCTGTGTGACACGGAAAAAATGGCGAAATCGTGTTGGTGAACACGAATCAATAGATTAATTTTGTGACTATAACACGAAATGCCGTGAGACTGTGTTGGTGTGTCGTAGTAGTATCTTGTAAAAATATTACACACCAGGGTGTAAACTCCTGATATATATATTGGGGTGTAGAATATTGATGGTATTGGAAGACTTTGTGTGAGGCACGTTGCTAGTACAAGAGGAATTGTAGGGCTAAGATAGAAGAAAACACACAACATTTTGAGATGATAGTAGCAAAATAGTTTTTGGACGGCAATATATTTGTCCATTGGTGTCCTAATTAAAGCAATAGTCCTGTGGGTGTGCTTTTTCTCTGGTTATCACGTTGTTAATCATTGCAGTGTAAGCAGCAAGCTATAAGCTCCCAGAAACACTTAGCGACGCCCCATGACACAGCTGCTTAAAATTCTTAGCAGCATTGTTTTCACATTCATTGTTTTAGAAATAGTATAATAAGAGTATTCTGAGTTGTAAAGAAGCACCTTGCAATAGTTTCATACTTTAAAAAATGAATCAAAGACGCCAACACATAGTTCATGTTAACTGAGCGTAGCTACATTTAGCTAGTTAGGTCTTTAGCTAACTGTAGCTACATTTAGCTCTTTAGCTAACATTACTGACCCATTTCAGCAACTTTTAATATTTACTGCCACTCTTACCCAACATGTAACAGATTTAAAATATTTATAAACAGGACATGTTTGTGATGTATTGCTTCTTTCTATTAATAAGATCTAAATACCACACTCTAAGATGGCCTCCATTCATTACTATGAAAATATGTCACTCAGCAAAAGAGTGTTTTTGTCTTTCTGGTATGCTTCTACCAGCACATCAACTTTAACAAGACTTTTCTTGACTTTTAAAATGTTAAACTATGATTTGAGAAATGCATAAAAGGAAAAAGAGCAATCATTTCACTTTTTGAGTTTGAAATGTCCCCTCAACAGTTTTTCTCTTTTAAATAGCTGTATATGATGCAAGTAAAGTGACTAACTCTAGGGAATCTTGTTCAAAAAAGGATTTAGGTTTAGTTGGTCACATCATATGAGCAGTGATGCATTCTGCTTGTTAATAATACTGTTGTTTAATAACAATATTCTTTATGAGGGTGGACTGATATTAACTAAGTTCATGAGGTGTTGTAGGGGGTGGATGTAGAATGGGTGGTGAAGAAGAAGAGAAGAGAAGATGGACCTTTATTAATCCCCAGAGGGGGAAATTCAGTTTCCACTCTGTCGTACACACACATGCGTGTATGTGGTGAATGCAAAGAGAAGATGGGACGATGTACTTCTGTGTGAGGTGTGTGAAGGTGTCGATGGTAGGGACTCACTTTAGCCTTGGGAGCGGGGTTGGAGGGGTCTGATGCCTTGTTGTTCGGGGAAGAAGAGCCCTGGGGAGACAACCACCCCATAGGTCAGTAAAACATCCAATACACCAACACAACAGGAAAGGTAGAGGGGTCATGGTGGGTTAGCAGCTGGACCAATCATATGAGTGTAGCCTATGGGTCATTACGACCAATCAAGAGGGAAGCATGAGATTGTTTTAAAAATTGCAGCTTGGATAAAAAAATGGCAGACTGTACCAACGCTATACAGCTCAATAGTGACTGCCTCTTTTTTTGATTGGCTCCAGTTCAAAGTGTGAATTTCCCATTCATTTATTCAGTAGACGTTTCGGAAAATCGGTACATGAAGAGTTTGAAACCAAGCCAATCAAATATGAGATGAATCGCTATGAACTAATTATTTGATTCAGGGAAAGCTGTATTCATAATTAGTTTAAGACTGAAGGAATTAACCATCCCATTTTCATAATACAAGAACATTCCAAACAAGCTTCCATGAGAGTAGTCAATGTTGACACCATGGTGTGCTCACTAGCTGTTCATGGGTGTGGCACACATTTCTATGGTAACAACAAGCTCTGCGAATCAGAGACCTTTCTGTTACATCCCACTATTGTGTGTTGTGTTTATTTTTTACTATCTATCTATCTATCTTTATTTCAAAAAATGAATGGGATATTCACTTTGGGAAGCTCACTGTTAAACTCTTTAATCCAATTCTCCTGGGAAATGCGTGGGTTTGTGAATCATTTAAACATTTGACAGTTGTAGCACCAATTAAGTGTTAGAATTAATAACGGGTTGCCCAAAAGAGAGGATAATAAAAAAATATGTATACATATATGTTGACCAATCAGATGGATCGCTGAAACAGGAGCAGATGGAAATGGATAACTTTTCAAAACATGACCGAGTTACTGCAGGTTAATATAAATAAAATGTCAGTTTGTGACAAGGGTCGATCAAATGTCAGCACAGAAAACAATAATTACACAATTGGCAATACAAACATTAAATGTAACATTATTGGTACAAACAAGTCATTCAATAACTACTGATGATGGAAGGGCTGATAAAACTGTTGAATGGGACATTTTAGAATACATATTAGACAGACCAATTTTCATTATCAGTGGAGATTCAGTGCCCCTTATTGTGATGCAGGGACGCGATGTGTCTGTGTGTGTAAAGGGGTTTCACTCTGACGGACTGACAGAGTAAAACATCAGCATGAAAGAGTTAATCGTGCCAGAAGATAACAGTTGAATGGTGACAAAACAGACAACATTTCCCTGTAGACTGCTCCTGTTGCGTGTGGGAAAATATGAGGTGAGGCGTATTTTAACAGAACCATTTGGAGAGGCAGCATCTCCTTCTCCTCACTGATCTAACTTTAATTGGACCATGTGATCATGGCTAAATGATACAGGATGAGGCATCACTGTGAATGTAAAACAGGGTGTTGCTAAAAAAGGAGCATGCCTGCTGTTTCCTGGATAAATATGGAGTGGGGGGTGGCATCTTTGCATAGATGGTTTGCAAAGCCTTTCGACTGCTATATGTACCTCAATATGCCAGCAGGAGGTGGAATACGGAATATAAATGAATATGAAACAGCTCAAAAAGCTATATTTGACATCAGTCTCTTAAGAAACGTTTGCATGCACACACATTAAAGAAGAATAGATTAAACTAAATCAATTTTGGATGTAAAGATAAATGTAAATAATTAAAAAGAACACATTAACTCAATGGAGACATACAAACACCTGGAAACGTATGGCAAGAAAGGACTAACAAAAACATGACAAAAATGTAAGTGGCAACATGTTTCACGAAGATCAACCAGCACAGAGGTAAAATAATGAGAGGGTTGCAAATCTGACTGAATTCAGTAGATGTGTAGAGCATGCAGTAATCTCTGTTGGTTTTAGTCGTTGTAACATATTTATGTGGATATGCAGTACATCCAACAAATACATTAACCCTGCATCAACACTAACAATTAATTTCTCCATAAATTAAAGTAATTTTTATCTCAGAGATTTCCCTGAAGAAAAAATAGTGTTATATATTCTATATATTCTGCAGAGTCTGTTCTACATTTCAATAAAGCACCAACAAGAAGTTTCTCTAGTGCAAACGGTAGAAATAAGGCTTTTGGAAAATGATGGTGAATGTGGAGGATTTAAAATGTAAATACAGTTACATCCAGTGCACATGATTCTTATGTGTATTCTCTTTATGTTTGCATTTACTGTGTCAAAAATAGATGAAAGAACACATGATACAAGAAAAATGATTTAACTGGTGACATGCTTTGCGTGGAGGCTGTTCTCTGCTGCACAACACAGCAATACAATAACATCTTCACCTTGTTTTCTCTGTTATGATTTGATTTGAATAAGGAACGGAAAACAATAAAAACAAATCATTCTAATCATTCATTCAAGTTTCAGCAGGTAATCCTGCTCAGATGTGTTTGTGACACAGCTCTTCCCCTTCATTTGATCATTCATTTATACGTGTTTATGCTGTAGATCAGTGGTTCTCCAATGGGGGTACGCTGACCCCTAGGGGTAAATTGGAGTACTGCAGGGGGTACGTGAGATTTATTTTATGTTAATGAAAAAATACATAATTAATGCATTTAAACAAACTACTAATAGTAGATTAACTACTTAATTCATAGGTTTACAGTAATTCTGGATAATAAAATGGGAAAAAAAACGGGGTGCTCTCTTTTCCTCTCCCTCTCCTGACAGCCCGTCAGTCTCGTGCAGCTCGCTGAACCTGTGATGAGTGACCCGACAGTAAAGAATAAATATATTTATAACTAGTTTAGCTAGTTCCAGAGTAGATAAAATAGCTAAGTGTGTTAGGTCTAACTCTTAGTGTATTTTGCTCCGCTCAACGGTCCGTCACAGCGGGGGAGCTTTGATCCGGAAGAGCTGCGTGTTCTCTGTCAGCAGCAGCTGATCTGATCTCTCTCTCGCGTCCGGTTAGACTTCACTCGCGTTTATGTCCAAATCTATCAGATCTAGCTAGCTCTAGTTAATTATATGACTGCCTGCATGTCAAAGGACCTAAACAATAAGGGTTGCTTGGCAATGGCTTGTGGCTGCAAAGCATTAGTTTATATGAGGGGTCAAAATCCCATGCTCATATTTTTTTTTCTCTTCATTCCCCACGCCCCAAAAATAAATAAATAAATAAATATACCAATTTTAGGAAAAGTTACGAAGTTTGAGCAGTGTGGGTTTTATGTTAACAGAGTTACACATATTTCAAAACGCGAAGTGTAATAACTGCAGTTTGCCTTCCTGTCACTGAGAATAACAAAAATCCTCAGTGAAGCACAAGCCCATGTTTCTCACTAAATTGTAAGTACAACTTATTAAAAAGATCAGTTGAATGCAACTAATGTCGTCTTAGTGTTATTGCATGATGTTAAAATTGGTTTGCCATGAATTTAGTGATGGATTGTAAACATTTGAAATGTAGCATTTAAGTGTTTCTCAGTTACAATGTTGTTGTAAATAAAATCAGACACTGATGGTGCAAGGCTGTACCTCTTTATATATGCATTTTTTCCCTAACAAATCTTCGCTGATCAGGGGGTAGTTGGCTGAATTTTTTTTTCAAAGGGGGTACATTATTGAAAAAAGTTTGAGAACCACTGCTGTAGACAATCATGCTGTCATTAAGTTTTGTTTATGATTTTGTTTACGGCAGATAATTTTACAAACCAATCACTGCCAAGCGTTGATTATATAAGAAACTACTTGCGAAGTATTTTAAGAATCTTGACAGGTATATCACTGTCCTGAATTATTCATTGACATTTCTTGTACTGTCCTACCTTTCCTCCTCCGGGCTGGTACTTGATGTTGTCGATGGATCCGATCTTGGAGCGGATGTTCTTCAGGTCAGGTGTCGGAGCATTGAGGGGGCGGGGGGTTCGAGGAGCACGGGGCACCGGCGGCTTCTTCTCCATTGGGCTCTGCTTGGGCACCGGGGGTTTGGTGAGGACACGACGGCGATGACTGGCTTCACCGTTGGTGGAAGCAGCGGGAGTAGTGATGGAGGCGGGGCGAGGACGGGCTTTTGGAAAAAACAGAGATAAAAGTATTGTTTATTTAAATCAAGGCTGAAGAGTCAAAAGACCATCTATGTGAAGTCAGTATTAACATCAATGAAATGTGTACATTTCGCTTGACAGAGTTGATATGATTAACCATGATTGTCACCACCCATAAATAAGGAAATTAACTAAGTCTAGGTAAGGCGAAAAAGAGTAGCGTGTGGTCTTTGTAACTGAGGCACTGATATTGATCAAAAATTCTTATATATATATATATAATCTTATATGTGAATTCACACGTGTAAGACCAATGATATGGTCATTTTCTATAATAGGGCAGTAAAATGACACATTGTTCAGTGAAGCTGGGCGGACGTTTAGAGATTAGGCGCCATTAAACCCCAAATTGGTTGCATCTGGGTAATTTTAGAATCGAGCCAAATTTCTGCCAGACCGTTTCTCATTTGATGTGCAGATTGAGGGGGATCACAACGGCTAATTAATTGCTTGAGCAATTCAGAATCTGGCTGTCACTGCTGTCTGCAGTTCAATGATCAGATGTCCCAAATTGTCTTCTGTCAGAAGATCTGGTATAAACTGTAGTGTGTTGCACAAGGTAGGGTAACACTGCATTTTTCTCTTCCTAACCTTCTTAACATCGCAGCCAATCAATTAGCTTTACAGTGTAACGTTGACACATTTATTTCAACAAGTTTTATTTTATTCTAGTGACATTTAAAATTCCATAACAACTATATTGCATTAAATTAACTTTTCTTTGAGTTTTTTCTCTTAGCTTGTTACCTGTAGGCTTGGGTTTCTTGGCCTCTCCGGTCTTGTTCTCAGTCTTGTCAGTCTTGTCAGTCTTGTCAGTCTTGTTCGCTGTGAGCAGGAAACACAACACTGTTAGCCTCAATAACTCAAAACTCCCTGTAGCTTGTTTGCTTATAAATCGGGATGCAAAGAAGTGACATAGCTACACTGGTGGTGTCTGGACAAATAGCCGGGTTGACCATTAGGTCTGAAATACAGTGTGAACAAACTTTTGTGCCATATGTATAGACTGTACACAAAGCAGTCTATGGGTCAATCTTTTCTGACAAATATACGTCAGTTTTTTTCAATAAGATCCACAGCACAAGCATCTCTGGCATAGCTTTTGTAAAATGTGCTACCAATTTAACCTTAACACATTGAAGCTCTAAGCTGCTTAAAAAAAACACGCTGAGTGTACCTGGCCTGCCAAGCACTTATCTGTAGATAGACAAAGCGACAGACTAACTGGTGAAGGAACAGACTAAACAGCGAAAGAGCCACATATTTAACACATTAGCCATAACAATTTTAAAAGGAAATAAATATTGCTACTGCTTGCAACAAGTCACCAAACACTATTATTAGATTTTTCAAAAATACGCTATAGAATACTTGAGAGGTATGACAAGCTGGAAGTTGTCGTGTATTTTTCTATTGCCGAAATCCCATCAATAGGGGAAGAAGCGTGTGATTGCCATATAATAGTCAAGATTTCATTTCCAACACATTTCTGTGGTTGGCTGCTCATAAATAAGTTGCCAAATGTTCTTTATTGATCAACTCTATAGGATGTAAAGCTGACTTGAAGATTGTGTTGCTTGCCAAGTGAGCAAAACTGAGTCATTTCACAGTTTCTAAAGGTGTGACAGTATGTCCATCCAATCCAGTCTCATAAAAAAACGTGTAATAACTACGTTGGTCCACAACGTAGGACGTAGTATTTCTACAAAAACGCCTCTGAAATTGTAAGATCCCGACGTTTTTTTTCACCATTCATTCCAATGGCTGGCGTCTATGTCACGTGATCTTCACATTTCTCGCTGCAGAAAAAAAAAACATGGCCGAACTTCGTTTTATTCTCGGTGGAAAATGCCTATTTTAAAGTTAGTTTGGCCATTAAAATGCGTTTTGATGTCATTTGATGCGAGAAATATGAGTTGTTATTTCAAATTATGTGTGCAGTGGATGCACATGATCTTTAGTTTGCTAGTTATTACGAAGATTACTTCAGGAAATTGTGTCGATACAACGTTTTCATTGTTACCAAGGTGGTTGCTAGGGACGCTGCGATCGATATTATTTCTGTTATGTTGTGTAACAGTTTAATGGTGTTATCTTTATTGCTACCCCCTTCCCCGTCAATGTATAGTGTTGGTCCACAGCGCAAACGTATTAGTTTAACAAAATCCGCATCTAAAATTGTGGCATAGATACGTTATTTTCCCCTGTGCAATTCCAGTCTCACATCTCACATCACATCGTCATAAACAAATACCGGAAACAGACCGAAAACACTTTATTCCGAGTGTGCTTGCTTTTCTCTTTGGAGGTCATCACATAACGGCATTGTAATACACGGTTCGGCTGCATTAAATATTACATATCTGCCGTAGTTCTCTATTTATAGAGCCCTGATGAGAAGACTTCTAGACAAACATGAGGAACTGCCGCCAACACTGAAAACATGACGTGGATCATAAATATATCAGCCATTAAACAACATCTTACATTTCTTTTCACACAATACGTCTCCTTGCAGTATCAACACTAATTCGGCTGACTTTTATATTTGATCCAATTGGTAGATAGGCTGTATTATTTACATCATGAAGGTGCACAGCTGATATAAATGGACACCTAGTGGTTAAAGCATGTTATTGAATTTAATTATTTTTATTATTAGATATTCATAGGATCCCTATAAAGTATATTCATTACTCGTTATTCTCTACTAATAGTTAATTAAAGACTGTATATAATGACTATTTTGCACATCCCTTTCAAGATTTCATGATTTTCTAAGGTTTATTGACATATCATATACACAAACGGTGTAGTTATGCAATGAATGAAAAACTTTGTGTATACCTCCAGCAATGTTAACTATGTTGAAGCACTTATTTTAACTGATATTATACACATGTATTATACTCTTATATAAGATGTATGTAGATAGTATAAGAAATGTGCAGAATACGACAGTTTAATGGTAGAGGTACACAAATATTGATAGATGTCACTGTTGAGGAACCTGCGACCAACGTTTTTCATCTCCAGCCTTGTCGGGTATTGAACAATCAATAAATAAAGAACACAGAATTATTAAATATAAAACACAGAATTTGTGTGATTATACTAAATGATTTACAAATAAACACCACTGCATATTTACAACTGTTACACATGCTGATGTAACGCAAATGTTTCTAACTTGGGATCAATAAAGTATATCTTATCTTAAGCTGATCGATGGCTACTGCCATATTTGCAAAATGTGCCTCTGAACCTTGACAAGTGCATGTTTCAGGCTCATCAATAAACAACAGGAGGGGTCACAGACATAAGACCAGCTGTTAAATAAAGCTCTTCTGACCTTAGCTGGCATGTGGGTAATGCTGCCCATTATGGGCACAAGCAATTTTCACCCATTTATTAATTATATGTTTTACATTTGAGTGTTTCCCATCCCCTAAACCTCCAGGGATGTACACAGTTTAATACTGGCCACTTCTTATTATGGGAAATACGAAAACGTCTTTTAAAACTACAACTCCCAGTAGAGGAGTGCCATAGAGCATGTTGCGAAACACAATAGCCAGCATGTGTAGTTCTGGGGACAGGGTGGGGGAGGGGGAGACGGGGTGGACCCGTTCAAATCCAGTTTTGGACAGTCTGCCGTGGTTCCATCTCATTTCAAGTGCTGTTCGACGCTCGGCACTCTCCAATCACAGAGCTTGAGGACTATCACGGGGTTTGTCAAGCGAAGCGGAGAGAATACTTACTTCCGGGTGTAATATTCTGTAAAGCAAATGAGCTGCTCCGACCCTCGGTCCTGACGGACTCCAATTTGTGTTTATTAATCAAACAAATAAATAAACACAAGGATAATTATGTGTTATTGTTGAGTAAATGGAGAATTGCACAGGGGAAAATAACGTATCTATGCCACAATTTTAGATGCGGATTTTGTTAAACTAATACGTTTGCGCTGTGGACCAACACTATACATTGACGGGGAAGGGGGTAGCAATAAAGATAACACCATTAAACAGTTACACAACATAACAGAAATAATATCGATAGCAGCGTCCCTAGCAACCACCTTGGTAACAATGAAAACGTTGTATCGACACAATTTCCTGAAGTAATCTTTGTAATAACTAGCAAACTAAAGATCATGTACATCCACTGCACACATAATCTGAAATAACAACTCATATTTCTCACATCAAATGACATCAAAACGCATTTTAATTGTAAAAACTAACTTTAAAATAGGCATTTTACACCGAGAATAAAACGAAGTTCGGCCATGTTTTTTTTTTTCTGCAGGGAGAAATTTGAAGATCACGTGACATAGACGCCAGCCATTGGAATGAATGGTGAAAAAAAACTTGGGGATCTTACAACTTACGAGGCGTTTTTGTAGAAATACTACGTCCTACGTTGTGGACCAACGTAGTTATTACACGTTTTTTGTGAGACTGGGTTGGTCCATCATGTTGATAAAGTTGTGCTGTATTTGTAATGCTGCCAACGTGGAAGAGGCATAAAGAAATGACACTAAACTGCTGTCATCAGGGCAACAACAACCAAATTAATGGAGCTCACTCATGCAACTAAAATGAAATATGCACCTCACAGTACATACAGTAACACCCATCACTGTGAATGGACTGAATAAATGATATTCTCTGAGTGTGCTGAGCTGAAGCGCACAAAAGGCAGAAAGCCTGTTGGACTCACATAGCTCTCACTGAGTCATAGCTTTCTCAGAGAGGTGAAATGCTGTTTGTGATGCACGGTTAAAAATACCAGCAGGGTGTCTTTAAAAGCCAGCTCTCGAATGTGATACAGTTTAACATATGGTAGCAATTCATTTTGCCTGTTGCCTGGAGTGCAGCCAGTTTACATTGTGAGTCATTTTCTAGCTATTGTAGAAAGATCAGGTCATGTTGTAGAGGTCATGTTTGCACTTTCAACACTATGAACTAGCCAAAGCAGAGCGGAGAAACTGCCTGTGATAACTCTGTTGTATCACACAATCAGATACAGAGGGCAGGCAAACACTGGAGATGTACAATAAATCATGTTACTGCTGTGTGAGTGTGTGTGCACTTACCAGCAGGGGAGCCGTTCTTACTGGCAGCCACACGGGGTGTGGGCGTGGCCTTTGGCACAGGTGTCCGTTTTTCATTTTCTGGAGTCTGGAAATTACAATACAAATCACATAACACGAGACAGATGAGTTGTGAGCGTTTTTTGGAGTTTGTAAGTACGGGTTTTACACTAGTGAAGCCTATGAAGTAGTACCTAAAACCTGTCTTTGCCAAGTGAAGTCAGATTGTATAAAAGTCTATGAGAAAATAACCCTTTCTCTAACTTGATTTGCTACCTGAGTAAGCATTGTGAACATCTGTTTATTGACTCAACCTCTAGTTTTAGTTCTGTTTCAATAAAGCATGACGTTCTATTTGAAGTATAATAGCAGGCTATGATTTTGGCAGGGCCAGCTGTGATTGACAGGTCGCTATAACAGTGTAGTCTGGTTTGGGTGTTGTTCGTGATTTGTTCGTTTTAGAACTTTAACCCTTTCACAGTGTTTACTCAAATCATGAAATGTAATTGTTACATTTCAGTTGCCTAAAAATCTCTTGTTCAGTGTTTGCTTATACAGGTACTTGGTAGCATCATCATGATCACTGCTGATTCAAAAATGCCAAGACGGCAACAGCCAAAATATCAAGATGGTGGCAGCCAAAAACTAAGATGATGTGATCAAAATAGCAAACTCAAGGCTTTAAAACAGCCATGGTGATTACACTTGAGTTAATCATGGGTATTAGCCACACAATGCAGCCAGTTAGATCACTGCAGCCAGGTGCTGCAGTTGTCTCCACCTAATGCAAAACAGGACATTATTTGCTCTTTCTTTATATAAGCTGTTTGGTGGACATGTTCTATCAACATTAACCGTTTTTATTGAATTGAGGGTCATTTAAATTTTGTTGTCTGATTTTGCAATATGAGGATTTTCTTTTGTTTACATATGACGTGTCGTCGATAGTGACTTATCAGAGAGTCTTAATACATTCAGCTTATATTACTGAAATTCCTCACAGATGCTCACAATCTGTTCAGGTCTACAGTAATAATATTAAATGTTTTAATTCTTAAAGTATCATGTGACATGACAGGCCACGATTGTTTTTGATTTAGAGGAACAGCGATCAAGCTAATAGATGTACTGCGGTAAACTTATATGATAGCTGTCTAGAATTGTAGTCCATCTTAATTAACAAATTAAATCATTGAGAAATATGGAGGGTATGATGAACAAATATAACAGTTTAATAGGCTACCATGTCAAACAGAAGAACATCATTGAGACAACAATTATTAATGAGTAAACGCTGAACAGATTAGTCTGATAACATTTGATTCAATCTGGGATAATCTAAAAAGAAGTCATTTTTTCTTTGACTTCCTGTACCTCTCCAAGGCTGCTGTAAACTCTCCAGCTTGAATGTGACTTATTTAAAAAAACAACTACATAGTTGAAAGTATAATACCAAAATAATTGTTGGTGACCAAATGTTAGTTAACAAGATGTAAATAAAAACAGGTAACCTTAGCTCATATCCTTTGGTATTGCCTCTGTTTGACTTCAAACCAGAATAATGCATGCTGGGAACTACTTGTGTGGGAAGTCCATTCAAGTGAGCTCACTTAAGGCATTTAGACTGAGTTAAATCTGACTTTGAATATTATTTATGTTTCCAATGTCCAAAAGAACATAAGTACAGAGAGCTGAAAAAGGCCAATCTTCATTCAAAGAAAAAATCTACCCATGTGGATTATACTCACCTTTGCAGCCTTGGCGGAGCCAGTTGGTGGCCGCTTCGCAGCGGTAGGTGTGGTTGCCTTGGGTACAGGGCTTTTTTTATTGGCTGAGGCTGTGGTTGGGGAGGGGCGTTTGGCCCCGGCGGATTCGCCATTGGTGGTGAGGGTGGATGGGCGGGATTTGGCTGAGTTTGGTTTAGTTGAACCCACGTCAGGCTGATGATAATGGAATTACAAGAAGCCACAATACAGTAAAAAAACATAGGAGGGTGGAAAAGAAAGAAACAGGAGGACAGATAGAGGTAGAGAAGAAAATTCAGAGATGTAATCTCCAATTGCAATGACAGCATGGTATGGCAGACAGCCAGCAACCATACAAAACATCTAAAATAAGCAATTTATAGCCTATTTTGAGGGTTAATGAGTGGTAAATTATAAAATTATAAGCCTCAAATCTGATGAAATGAGAAGCAGTTAAAGAGCAGCATTTGATACCAAACTGAGGTTTTAGATATAGGATACTCTGCAGACACTCATTATGCACCCACATAATATAAATTATGTACATTTAGCACTTCTTACACATACTAAAGGCACAGATAGTTCTACACTAAATGTACCTTCACTAAACAGGTGCTGTTTTGAAGCTGGTGAGTTATGACAACTCATAGGGCTAGCTGGTGAACTACTGCTGGCATGCTAATTTCCTACATGCTAGCCAGCTGGGAACATGCTAGCTCGAGTGAGTCACAACAGCTCTCTGAGTTTTGTCTATTTCTCGTCACTGGGCTGTTTACTCCCTCTAGAATTGTGTTCTAAGGATTCTACATCATGCTAATTAATGTAGAGATATTGATAAGGCTCTCCAAAGCGTACTTCCTGTCAGTTAGCAACTTGTAGCTTATATTAGTTGCTAATGGAAGCATTTGGTCATTTGGATACATATTTGTATCATGTGTCTTAAATCGTTTATTCTCTGGCCAAGTAGAGCTGCAGCGACTATCAATTCATGAATAACTAAATCAATATAAAACTAACCAGATTAAAACTAAAAAGTAATAATCTTATGATTCAACATTCCAGCTGGTTATTTGCTGCTTTTGTTAGTGGGTTAAACAAAACAGGCATTTTTGACATCACATTCGGCATAAAGAAACAATCTTTCGTTATTTTGTAATAATTTGTTTCTGTAAAATGATCTGCAGATGGTTCCATGGGGAAAATAATGAATAGTTGCAGGCATAAAAAGATGGATGGTGCAACACATCTACTCAGCTATGACAGTGGCCTCAGGTGCTAACAGTGCTCTGATTGAAGTGGAAGATGCCTGGGTAATTTCTGCCATCAGCCCGAGCATTGGTATGTGTGTGTGTGTGTGTGTGTGTGTGTGTGTGTGTGTGTGTGTGTGTGTGTGTGTGTGTGTGTGTGTGTATGTATGTGGAGGCAGGAAATAGTGTGTCCTGCTCAAGGACACTTTAACATGCTGTTGTTAGACACACCGGCTGTGGCAGAGGTCAAAGCGACCTTTGGGTGACAGGCTGTTTCTGGAACCACTGGACACTCTCCCCCTTTGAGTGTGTGAAATTGGATGCAGGAAATGTGTGTGGATAACAGATGTGTGTGTGTGCGTCTGTGTGTGTGTCACACACCTTGTTCTTGCTTTCAGGGCTTGGCAGGGTCTTGCTACCGGGGCCTGTTGGAGACTTGGCTGTCCCTTTCGCTCCCTTATCATCTTTCTTCTCAGCCAGCTTTTTCTCATCTTCCTTCTTCTCATCCTTGTTGGTCTTCTCCGGCTTGTCCCCCTTCTCTGCCTTTTCCTTGTTTTTCTCCGCGTTCATCTTCTCGATCTTATCCTCCTCCTTGAGGATCTTCTCAGACTTTTGGTTCTTTTCTGGACCAGCGTCCTTCTTCTGCTGCTCTTCGTTCTTGTCAAAGGTGTCCAACTTGGCTGTCTTGCTTGACATTAAGTCTGTCTTCTCCTGTTTGTCCTTGTTGTCAGATTTCACTATGAGAGAGAGATTCATTATCAGCATCACATTTATTTTAACAAAATAAAACTTGCTTTCAAGAAATGTCTCGAGATTTGTCACTATGCAACAACATGTTTCACTGTATACATAAAGACAATTCTACAGTACATGACGTTTACAAGTACAACTTGTTAACAGCACGATCTTTGGATGGATAGGAGCTGTTGTATAATGAGAAAAAGGAAGATGGATGCACAAATGTTTTGGTGATTTTAGGTTTTTCACTTGAGAAAGTACTATGAAGAAAATTACAGTGATGTTGAAGGATTTGTTGGTTTAAGGCACAAACACTTTGTGGTTTGGGATGGCTTTGGTCATGTTCAGTCATGTTCTTACATTATCAAATATAATTATACAAAAGTAGAAAAATTGCACAGCAATGCCATTGTACTCTTTTTGTGGGAGTTTATCAGTTGTCACTCTGACACACCTATTTCTAATTCTTAAAAGGGGCACTCAAATGATTGAATCACCAACATTTAGCTGGAGAGAGATTTAAAAGAAACGGTCAAACTGGGATTTGCAGCAGAGGCTGAGATTTCTGGACTTTTAGTCCTTAGCATGGATCAATATGCTGATTTGAACCTTAATGCATATCTGTGGCATCTTTACTTAAGACCCTTTTTGCATGTCCCAGTCTTAAAATCATCATATCGTCAGTTTGCACACAAATCTGTTACAAATCTGTTCACTTCAAGCCTAATCCAGGATAACCTTAATGACATAAAGCTCTTCCTGAGTCACAGAGCACATTATACAACTGTTTCCAAAGGCTCAGTCTCAGTCAGTTCTCCTTATGATCAGTTACCCAACTTCATGGGAAAAATATGTGGCGTTCCAATTGTATGTATTTTCTGTATTCCTAAGATTTGTACAGTAACTTTCCATTATAGTGATGTATGGAGCAACATGTTCATGCAGGTGATGGCCAGTAACCAACCAGAGCAGTTTGACTGGGCCATAAACGACCGTATAGACCAAATAGTGAAGTGTATTTTTGTAGAAAAGTTATTGTATGCGTGTCGTTTATTAATGAACTCAAAGGTTGAAAAGTGTATGTCCTTGGTTCAGTGTTCTTCATGTGTTTTCCAGGATTATGTAAACACCATGCAGGGACATCTTTCCTCCTTAGAGGAAGCACAAGGTCAACTGGGTGGCAGAACCAATGTTGCCAACAGCTGATTCATAGCGTGAGCACAGAATAAGAAAAAAAGAGGGATTATAATTGTAAGCAAGGGGGAAGTGTGACAGGGAAACGTGCACAGAGGGAGACAGAGACATAAGGAGTTCGGGGAGGTTGACGGGGTTAAGGACAGACAGCCGGCGGGGCGGAGGGTTGGGGGACAGAAAGAGACAGGGGCTCTTTGTTGCCACCAAGACATCACTTACATAACAGTGACACTGGACCGGCCTATGCTATGCCCTAATATTCCCTCATTACCCCCTGTGCTGAGGTTTGCAGTGCTAGAACTGCTCGATCTCTTCTGAAACTATGCCAATTTGCTGCCAGTGTGTTTTCTCTAGCAATCAAGCCGGCTACATAGAGTGTGTCCCTCTAGAACGATGACTACCATCAAACAAGATATATTTTGTTATGTTACTTTAAACCGTGATTGCAAATTAGCTCAGCTCGGAGCCTTAATCAGAATGAGACTGTAATTATGAGCATGGAGTATTCTCAAAAGAGCTACCTATGTGTTGCCAACTGTAAAAGCTCAAGTATGTTCAGAGTCTGTCGACATTTTGGAGTTTGGTTTTCCTCCTGCATCTCTGATCTCGTTATTCGTCCAACATTATGTTTTTGTTGTGGTTCATCAAGCTGGGATCAAGTCAGTTTTTTGCTTGCAATTCCTCGCTGATTTAATGCAAACTCATCACTTGCTGCAGCTGCTTCACAAAGCCTCTCAGTGACACCAAATTGTTTCATGAATGTTAATGAGGTTGATTCAAAGATTCCTTGCAGTGTTTTGGTCCAGTCTGATTTTGGTTTCTGGCATCTATGCATCATTATTATAATTTTTTTATTTCCAGTAAAGCAACTGAAAAGATGTGTATACCTTACAATATTTAGCTCATGACAACTGTAGTTCACTGCCTTTTCTTTGGAAACTAAAAAGGGAAATTAATTCCTTAACCTACTCTGGGTGCTGTGGCAAATTATATTTTGTTCTTCCAGCCACAACATAAAAATCCAGACTTTAACGAGCTCCACTGATTAAAGATTGATCTGCTATAACATTGTGGGACTCATTATTGATCCTTTTAAAATACAAATAGATGCAGCAGATCCAAAGTATTGTCGAACAGAGATAGAGCAAGAGAAAAGGCCACAAATAAGTCATTGTCTTTATCACCAGATGTGCTGATGAAGCTCAGAGATTTTGAAAATGGTTTCTAGATTTTAGGATTGCAGTAAAGAAAAGTCTGCTGGGGCAAGAAAAACAAGTAGTCAGACAATCATAAAAGACTCATATATTTTGTGGAGACAATAGAAAATAACGTTATTATTACGCAAACTGTCCTACAGTTTACGTAACAACTTCCTGCTTCAAATTTGCGGTATTATTCGTATCATTGCACAGTTGTTAACAAGTGTTAAACCTGACAATATCTGGTTTCAATAGCCTGGAATCTCTGGAAATGTCTATTGTGCCATTTTTTATTGTTCCTGCCCCTTTGTTGAAGCCGTGTTGTCATATTTGCAGTACTGTGCCCAACATTTGTTTTTAGCATCATCAATAGAAACAGTGATCATCACAAAATCACCCTTTAACTTGGCAGATATTTTAATTGCATATCGAGTATGGAAAGATGGTAAATTGTTATATTTATAAATATAACTGAATGAAACCTTTGGAAACGGACAGAATAGTAGGTTTCAACAACAACATGAATCTCACAACGGAAAATTAAGAGTGAAGGGCTGAAAGCACTCACAACAAATCTATATATACAGTAGGGGCTTTATTATTCTAATAGACTTTATCTATCTTTAGGCTTATGCTACAGTAGTTTACATCACTGCACCCTACAACACAGGCTATATGACTCATCCAACATGAAACGGCTGGCTGTGAACACAGAGGATCTATCTAATATCACGCCACAAAACATAGCTGCCGGCCACTGCCACGTAAATCAGAGCATGACTAACCTACACAGACATGGAGCAAGGATATTTTACTGCAGGACACACACACACACACACACACACACACACACACACCACACACACACACACACACACACACACACCACACACACACACACACACACACACACACACACACACACACACACACACACACACACACACACACACACACACACACACACACACACACACACACACACACACACACACACACAGCACACAGCACACACACACACACACACACACACACACACACACAGCACACAGCAGACACACACACACACACACACATCACACACACACACACACACACACACATCACACACACACCACACACACACACACACACACACACACACCCACACACACACACACACACACACATTTTCCCCCTTCTGTCTCACACTTACACGCAATCCCAGTTCGCATATTGACAGCTTTAGCTCCTGCTTGCTAGCATGATAGCTATCAAGCTTGCACAGTGACAAGCAGGGCAATCAATAAACACTCTGATAGTAATTATCCACATGACATTGCATTGACATACAGTACACAAAACTGAGTTATGCTGGGTGTCACTACAGTGTATGAGAAACAAACCCTGTTTAGTTTCTGTAAAGCCCTTGCAAAAAATGAATTTGTGTATTATTACTTCCAAAAAGGGCGTTATGTTTCTGCTCCATTTGTCTGTCTGTTTTTTTGACTGTAGGATTATGGAAAAACTAGTGTCCCAATTTTCATGAAATCATGTGAAAGGGTGTAACATCTGCCAAGGACAAACACATTACACTTTGGAGCAGATCCAAAACAGGGGAGATACATTAATTGTGTTACTTTGAGATTGTGAGTTTAGAATTGTTTGTAGCTTGAACAACTCGGAAACAGATATAAATTCTTAAAGCTAATAAACATTTATATGCAACTATGCGAGTAGCAAGTGAATGCACCATTGGCCTAGAGTAGTGCTTCTCAAAGTGTGGTCCGCGGACCACTGGTGGTCCGTGAGCGCCCCCTAGTGGTCCGTGAGTATATTGGTAACATTTCACATTTGAAATAAATAAATTAATTTCAGTTTTCCGCACTCTCGCGGGAATATCTCCGCAATGGAGTGAGGTTAAGTTTCACTTTCAATTGCATGATATAGCCCAGCGCAACACCTTCATTACACATGTTGCCACTTGTTTGTACCATTTTCAGGCAATTTGTAATCTGTTCTAGAAAAACGATGTTTCTTTTGATATTTGTGGAGTTAGGTGGTCCGCAAGTGTTTTTTTATTGGTTAAGTGGTCCTTGGAATGAACATTTTTGAGAAACACTGGCCTAGAGGTACAGCATGTGCCCCAAGTGCTATGTTAGTTGCATATCAAATTGTCCCTCATTTACTATTTGCTGCTAGGTTTTTGACAATAGTGCAAATGCATTGGCTCTATGCTAATGTTGATTTAAGTTTTAGTTGAAAATAACAGTACTGGCGACATTCTTCACTTGGTCATCAGATACAAATTTGCATCAGAAATGGCATGCTTAGCCTTTTTCAAATGTAAATGTTTCCTTTAAATGTGACACACCATGATTTTTGTCCAGAAGAAGAAGTGTAAGGTTTGAAACTGGGGCACTGACTAACCACATGCAGGTGGTGCACCTGTTTGCCTTTCCTCTCATTCAAAGCTACAATGTGAAAGATAAATTCAAGCGTTTTTCATTTATTGGTAATTCTTCCCTCTGGATGTGCTGTCCCCAACAAACAGTAAGCGAGGGTCAAAAGATTCCAACATGACTGCAGGTACCTGAGCCCGTCTGTTTAATGAATTGGTTGTTTTA